CTTTCCTCCTTCTTTTGCTCAACAGCAGTGACTTTGTCTTTTTCGCTCTTCGTTATTGTCTGGCTCGGAGAAGGAGAAATTAATGATTTAGTCATTACGTCTTTACTGGATCTATTCAAGCGATCCGAACTGGGCGTTTTTGAAAGCGATTTGGGTGTGGTGGCTTTGGGTGTTACTGACTCCTGTAAATGTAAGACAAACAGTTCATTATATAGCAGATTGTTTAGTGATTGATATACAAAGAGCTTACCCGTTTAGCTGAGGGTTTCTTTTCGGCGCTGGACAAACGTGAAGAAGATGACACAAACATTGAGGTCGACATCATATTTGATGTTCGTTTGGGGGTATTTTGTGCTGATGTTGTAGTTGTCGTAGATGAAGGTGTTGAAGCCTTCACTGGCGGCCTGTTATCTTTTTTGTGTTTATTAAGGTCTGTAAATTGGGGCAAATAGTTAGCTATGTACATTTGCGATAAGTTTATATACAAAGTGATCATCCTCTAAGACAAGAAATATAACAACCAAGCATCACGCATACGAGAGAACTATTTTATCAAATGAAAGCGCGTATGTACAATTATGCACAAAGTATGTACGAGTATGCAGTTATGATTATATGTATGTATGTATGTACATATTTACTATGTTTTACATTATATGAAAAGCACATTTACTCACCCTCCAGCGACATGCCAGTACCGGCAATACTAGCTGGCCGTTGCTTACGTGTGGCCGGTACAGATCTTCTAGCCACGTAACCAGATGTGGATATATTTGTGGATGTGGACATTGCACTACCCGGCCTTGAAGTGCTGATGTGGCCGCCTGGGGTGACATTTCCAGAACGTGAACCTAACACCGATTCAACAACACAACGACATAGTTATGTGAATAATAAATGTTACATAAAATAAAATAAAAATTATATACAAAAATTAAGTGATTTGGTGATGAAGAGCTGAGAGTAGATGATTTGGTAAATGAGTTGTCAATTGATGTAATGTTTAAAAACCAAAGTACGACAAAAGAAACATCCAACAAAAAAAAAAA